TTTTCCCAGCCTTACAATTAGATTATATTAAACCTAATATTTTTTTTTTGAAATTTATTGCATAGCATTATATCATTTCAGTTATAAAGGTAATAATGGGGAATTGTTATAGTCACATGTTGAAATTATTGTACAACAATGAAAATAGCTAAAATTTGTAATTAAGAGGACACTATAYACACATTTGTTACCTCTGTCTTACAATTGGAAAACATACCAAATTTAAGCTCAGTAAATCACAACCTATAATGAAACTTGATGGTAAAAACATTATCTGTGTTTGCATGAGGGTTTTTAAAATTTAAAACTACTATTTTATACTAAAACAAATATTATTGGGAAAAAAAGATTTATACTATATACTTAGTTTGTGCATGAGTCACTTATACTTTGTACGCYATAAAATTATATACCTTATAAAGGTGCTTTAAGTATAAAACTACTCTAAAGTAAGTATATAATTTATATGCATAATTATTACACATAATATAATTATAGATTTATTGATGCTTACTTCATTTTCTACTGTAAATGCTCCCGAACATGAAGAATATTTGTCATTTGATACCTATCAAAATATTTAGGAAATTAGAAAGATAAAATATCAATTTTAATTTCTTATAGAAAATTGTTATTTATACTTACAATTTCTTTTTTTTTACATAAAAGTTTATATTCATTTTCCCAGTGCATTTTTTCTTGTTCCAATGATAATGACCGGTTTATCTCTTCATTTAATTTTTCATTATAAACATGAATAATACTTTCATAGCTATTTTGAGAAATTGAAGTTGAATTTAATTCCTCTTTAGCCTRAAAATAGTTTTATGATAATGAAAACTTTATCTTAAAAACTTAAACTAAATGTTAATTGTAACTGTTACTTGTTTTGAATGTTTTACGTGTAACTGGGGATTTCTCATATGCCAATGCATATCCTCTTGGCTATATTTATATAAATATTCAAACTCCAATATATTTATGGCTCGTAACAGCTATAAAATGTAAACAGCCTAATTAATAATTCAAGATTTAAAATCATAATTAAAACATACATTGAAGGAATTCAATATAATGTATTTTTATATTTGATTTATCTWCATATAGTAATATTTTTTTACTTACAGTGTGTACTGTATCATAAGCTCCATTTAGTTTTTTGATTATGTTGGCCGAATCTAAACATTCATCAGAGTTTACTAACTCTGCAAATTAAATTAAATTACATAAAATATACAATGATATATTTTATAAATATTTAAATACCTCCAATAGGAAACTTTAATGCCATGAACGATATTATATTTTGACGTAAAGCTGAACAATCAATGTTAACAGTATTATCTATAAAATAAAAAATAAATAATTKATATACAATTAATTATAAGTACAATATAAACATTTAATTGTAAATTTTAAAAATTCAAGTTGGATACATTACCTGATTTTATGAACTCTTTAATAAAATTAACACATTCAATATATTTATTT